GTCTTATCAAAATCACCTCAGCTCGTCTGTCCGTCCGTCCGTCCGTCCGTCCGTCCGTGTGAACACAGACTACCGCCCGGGAGTAAAACGGCGTGGCGTAGCATAACGCTTATACATTTTAGGAGTTTTAACTCAGAGAGAAAACGATTCAAAGTACAATAACAGTAACCTAAGCATTATCCTTGCTTTCTAAGATCTAAGTAGAAGTTTTATTTTTCAGTCTCTATTGAAACGACCGGTCACTCTAACCGCCCGGCAACTCTCAGTTAGCAAAAGTAAGCATTTCTTTGTGAAAGAGCAGGTCACAAGAAATATTTTCTGGACTCTAGTTTTTTTTTTGTGGTTGTTTTTTGTTTTTTAAAGTGACAATAGATTCCAGTTATCACCAGGAATCTAAATGAAAACTCACAAAGGGTAGCTCTGAAATCCTGTCCTCTTCCTACCCCTTATCACGATTAAGCAAATAAAAGTATTTATTTTAAAGGAACTATCAACAAGTCATCGGTACTGCACATCCACCGATGAGCGAGTCCCCCTGAACTTCCACAGCCGGTCCGCACGAGCGACCGACCGCCCGCCTTCAAAAATCCAACCCATCGGAGCTCTAGCTAACAACCACACAAATACAACCCAGCAGTGACAAAACACCGGAAACGTTCACAAAGCGAGACAAGAAAGACGTGACGTGAACACATCTTTTCGTTCTCTCTCTCCGTAAGCCACTTTCCACTGCCGTCTAAAGCTTCCATTTATAATCTCTGAAAGAGGAGACGCATCCTCGACTGGACTTTCCCAACCACCCACAACGCGTAGGTAATGGGGATTCATCTCGGGGGTGATGATTTTGGACTGGGTAGAGGCAAGAGCGTTGTCCATGCCACAGGCTGGCAGTATGAGGCCCTCAGTTCAAGCCCAGTACCACCCGCCAGCCACCAAAATAAGGAAGGAAGGAAGGAAGGAAGGAAGGAAGGAAAGGAAGGAAGGAGGAAGGAGGAAAATAATACAAAGGAGAGAGAGTGAGTGAGTGAGTGAGTGTGTGTGTGTGTCTGTGTGTGTGAGATCTGAAAGGGCCAAAATAGGATAAGCCAAAAAGTGAACTTTTTCTTTAAAAAAATCAATAACGTCTTAATGCTTTCTAAAAAATGTAAAACTCGGTAACAACTTTATGACAAAATCTGCATTTAAGAAAAGCCTGTGTGGAACCAGCACGATTACAGCTGGGGATGTAGCTCAGCGGTCGAGCGTTTGCCTAGCATGCTAGCAAGGAGGAAGCTCTGGGTCTGATCCCTCCCCTCGTACTGCAAATCAGTAGTAAAATACATAAATAAATTTATTTTTATAAATTAATAAGTTTATATAAATTTTAAATAAATAATGTTAGTAAAAATAACTAATGAAAACTCAATACATGAATCCAGCAGAGTTAGAATCACCCCGTCCCCACCGTCCCCGTCCCCCGTCCCGTCCCCGTCCCCGTGTCCCCCACCCCCGTCACTTTCATCACAAAGAAAAACATTCCAGGAATCATACTTACAACAAATATAGGTTCCTAGAGAAAAAAGCTGTAAGTGTTTTTTGGAGTAGGAAAATAGCAGAAAAGTGGGATCTTAAATTGTAAAAACAACCGGGCGTCAAATTTTGTAACAGCAGAATCATTCTGTGGCAGCGAACATAAGGGAAATGTTACCTGGCGATCATTTCATTTTCCTTCGTTTTAAAGTATGAAAGAAGTGCTGCCATCTTCTCCCCTTGCCTTAATCCATCACAGGTTTTCTTAGACGTATTTAAGCACAAGTGGGTCTTATTCAGAACCAAACAACCACCGGTACTATTTTAAAACTCTCCACAGCCTCCTACGTGCAGGAAGGTTCAAGAGAGAGCAAGAACGCCTGTTCCTTCATGCTGAATGAAAAGAAAAAGGGAATGCCTGTGTCACACGGCCGGATCGATGCTCGAATCTGGGGGTAGAGTTGGGGACAAGGGTGAGGTTCGGTAAGAAACAGCTTTTTACAAATACACAGAAGTCCAGGTCGAATTGTTAAACACAAAGCTGTGTTTGCAAGAAAGGCTCCGTTCGGACGGACGGACGGACGGACGGACGGTGCCCCGTGTCATTTCATGTCTGTGAGTCGTAATGGCAAGGGATGCACTTGAAGGAGCTGCTACTTTATCCTCCCAAGTACGGTACAAGCCGCATGCTTTATATCCTCTCACTCTCCTCAGTCCGTCGTGCCGACCGTTCCCTCCCGCTCGCCTCCCCTCCCATCGAGGGTGTTTTTTATTAGGATGTGCACGTTCAGTATGGTGAAGGGGATTCGTAGTGACAATTCCGAGCATTTTCCGTTCATTGGCATTTTCTCAGGCGGAGGCTCTTGCCATTCAGGAAATTGGAGACCACGACCAGTTGCGAATCCCTCTCCTTTTTCCTTTGTGTTCGGACAAGAAACTGTCCACTCTGGTTTTCTTACAGAGTCCTTTCTGACACGCACGTGACTTCTGAACAATCACACACCACACACACACACACACACACACACACACACACTACACCCTCTCTTCCCGGTAATGCCAAGAGTAGTCATCGAGCGCCACCTATTGTTCATTTTGGGCAACCACTAAGGTTACGAATTCCACAAGACTTCCATGCATGTCCAAAATAACCATAGCAAAATGGAGAGTCGAAACCTCCAGTCAGTCCTCAATTCAAACAATCAGCCATGAACGGTCACGGCTACACGCAGAGAGTACCAGAGATGACAGGAGTGAGGGTGTGTGTTGTGTGAGTGTGTGAACAACACTCGTGCATGGTGGGGGGGGCGGGCGTCCTCCCACACTGAATCCTCGTGGATTTTATATGGTAAGGAATCGAGTGCACCAATAGGTGTCAGAGTGGGCTTTCGGGTCCCGATGTAAGACCGACCCAGCGGAAGAGCATGTGTCTCACTCACTGACCCACCTCTAAGTTGAGTCCCTCTCCCTCTCCTCCTCCCTCCTCCTCCTCCCTCCCTCCCGGAGATTCATCCAGGAGGAGTATTCAGAGAGTGTGCAAATACACACAAATAGCGTGATATTTAGAGAGTTAGAGCCAGCCTGGTGTCATAGGCAGATTTTCCTTGCCTGACTTGGGAAAGTTAAATAGTAAAAAGGGGACACCCAGACCCAGAGGTTGGCCCTTACACACACACACACAACACACACACACACACACACACACTTTCTGAAGCTGATTGTTATTCGTGTGTGGGTGTCTCAGTTCTCCAAAAGTAGCCTCATCTATCCAGAAGGTCAGTTGAGTGCAAGCAAAAGGAAAGGGCAGAGTCACAGCAATGTTTTTATGTATGTACTTATTTATTTATTTATTTAT